GTGATTGTTGTAGATGTCATCAACTTTCTCAAGTGCTTCTTTTTGAGATTGTGTAAAAAAAATATTTTTTTAAATGATCGAATTCATATTATCTGGTTAAATATTTTATATTGTAATATATAGTTAAAAAATAATGTATATATTATGGAGTAAAATATTAAAATAAATAAGTCTTAAATGAAAACTAAAACTAAAACTAAAATAAAATAAAATAATAAAACTTAATTCAAGAAGTTGATAACTTGATTTGAAAATACTAATTTGATGCTTTAACGCACATTTTGCAATATTTGATCGAAAAAATAAAAATAGCAAATTCGTACACTGTAGCTCATAGTTTCCTCGTGATACGACAATGATTATGTTCCACAGAATCATCCAAAAGAGGACATATAGAAAACGTGATCTAGTTTTATCGCTTATGTCACATTCTTCTCCATCACCTGACTACTCTCCCTATATATAAGAAGTTCTCTCTTCGAGTATAAGAATAGAAAGAAATTAGAAGGAGCATGGGAAATATAATAGATTATCTCCGGAAGGAATTAACACCTAAGGAGATACGACTCTTTCCAAATGAGTTGGTGTTTGATGGTGAGAGAGAATCCTTGAACACACTGTTTTATTCAGATGGGTGAAACAGTGGCTAAAACGGGTCTCTTGGTACCATACTGTTGCAGCATCAACGGAAGTAACCATTGATCAGTTGATGGAAGTTCCTATGTGTAGTAAATCCTGAAAAAGAACAAACGAAGATCTTGATTTGATCAAGTATAGTTGAGGGTTGGTGTTCAGTGTGGGCAGTCTCCTCTATCAAAATAGTAAGAGAAAAAGAAGGACTTATCTCAGATCTTTACCAATGGTTCAACTGTTTTTTATTCTCTTTTTGGTTTTCATGGCCGATCACGATTTAAGTATAGATTATTTCTACCTTCCTTTTAGTTTCCTTACTTACTTTTACTTTTTCGTTTCCTTACATGTATGTTTTGAAAAATGATTATCTTATGAATGCTTTTTAGTTTATCTCATGTTCTCTGAGACAACATTTTTCGTTTGTACTTCATAGGATAAAAATGTTGATCAAATTTGCTAATGTTCTTTGTGGATATCGACTTTAAGAAATGCAAGGTAACAAATAAGAAATATCTTTAAACAACTAAAGTAACCCAAATAAAGATAATAATTAATCTAAAAGAGTTCTTTTATGCTAAAAATCATTCTTTATTTTGAATATCGAAATTTAATTAAAAAATTTATTCTACTGAATAAGTAACTGGTGAAATACTAAAATATACAAATTTCATTGAAATATCAAAGTTATCGAATTTGGGTCCTCTCCATTTCTCTTCTTTCCATTTTCCCCAAGTTTTCCTCTTTTTGATTTTGTTTTAGTTAGTTTTTTTTAGATGATTTCTTTAATTGAGTTTAGCACTTTTGAATTGAACATTCATGTAAATATTTGGTTGATTTATAAATCTGACCTTTTGGGTCTGGTTGGCCAAAAAAAAATTCACGATTTAGATAATTAATATTTTGTGTATTAATTTGCTTGAAAAAACTTTAGTAATCCCATAATTATAGCAACATATATTTTGTCCATAAGTATATTTAAATAAAATTCTCTTCCTATCTTTTTTTCCCCTACCAAGTGTCTATCTTCCAATTCCAATTGAGATAATTGATTTTCTGAACTGAAACCAATTTAGAAAATTGAATTCCCTGATAAAAAATTGAATATTTTACTCTGCTTTCATGCTATTGGTTGTTGTCAAATTGTTTTTTACAACAATTTTTTTTGGACGCAAGGAGGGAGAAAAGAGATGAAATAAATGGTAGTTTTTAAATTGATAAGAACACATTTATTTATATAAATTAGCTATGGTTAGGATACACTTTAGTTAATTAAATTCTAGCCATTAATTAAGTATAACTTACATAAATTCCATAGTGTAAGGAGTAAATTACATCTTATTCCTATTTTTTTAAAAATTATAATAATCCCTTAAAATTTGTATCTTCGGATACATAAGTCACCATCCGAATACATTAATTCTGATACAAGAAGTATCAATCTGTTACACTAAAATAGGGAATAAAAACTGAAAATCTAATTAAATCCCATAAATTACGCTTATGTTTCTTCTTACTTTTGATATATAGAGGCAAATCCTAACAGGATGAAGAAATTTAAAATTTAAAATTGCTTCCCCCTGTTCAGCGAAGTAACCTTTCAGATTTGATGCAAAAAAATTTGTCGAAATTTTGGGTAATCGTGATGAGTTATGAAGGATACAAAAGTGATGAAATTGTTGTTGGACAAAAGATTTCTTTTGTGAATCTTCAAGTTCATTGAAGATCCTTTCAATTTTGATTCAAGATTGTCAAAAATTTTGAGATTCAAAATAATTATCCCAGTTCATCGAAGATTCTTTCAATTTCGATTCAAAATTTTGAAAATTTTGCGATTCAAAATTCTTCTCCTAGTTCATTGAAGATCCTTTCAATTTTGATTCAAACACAAATTATACAAATTACAATGTATAATTTGTGTTGTATAAAGCGAGCGAGAGAGAGAAATTTGATATACAAACGTTTTATTTCGATTCAATTGTATACAAATTCAAATTTTATGCAAATATACAAACACATATTAAAATTGAATTGAGGGGCTGCCAACTATTTATACAAACGAAAGGTTGCCAGCGATTTATACAAATGAGAGGTTGTCAACGATTTATACAAATGAGAGGCTGCCAACGATTTATACAAATCTGATGCAACATAGCAAACATAAAGTTTGCTATGGAGCGCAATTACACAAACTATAGCTATAGCATACAAATATAATTTTTATGTTTGCTAAACCTAAAATTTACTCTTAGCTTTTCAAAAATCCTTAAAATTTATGGATTTCAGATACATCACTGGACTTCCGGATACATAGCTGAGGGATGTATCCGAGAGGAGAGGGATGTATCTAAGGGGGATAGGATGTATCAGTGAGAGGAGAGTGATATACCCAAGAGGAAATTTTTGAATTTTTTTTAAATGGTAGGAAATTTTAGAGATTATGATAAAGTAATATGTGTATTAGGTAATTTTTCCTATAAATATAAAGTAAATAAAATAGTTTAATAATTTTGTATACCAAGAAAAAGAAATATATTTGTTAATCAATTTAATAAAAAAAATAGAAAGAATATGATTATATGAATGTAAATAATGTAAACATGAGTAGTTTTTTCTCGTGAAGTTGTGATAACAATTGATGATGCACACTAGTTAAAGTCAATTGTTTTCCTTTTATGTATATATAAACATGAAAATTACTATATACATAACATTAATGATGATTGTCATAAATATTTCAATATTTGATTGTTATACAATATTCAAACATAATATTTCAGTAGAGTTGTTATATAGAAATAATTTAACAAAGAATGTATCACTTTAATGAATATCGTTGTTGTTAGAATATTATTATAGAAAAATATAATATAAAAAATTGATTTTTAAAAATATCAAGCCATTATAATTACAATTAAGATTTGATTATATTTATACATCTTATCATATCATATAGAGAAAATTAATATTTTTTTTAATACTCATCAAATATAAAATATTACTTTTTTCAAACAATTCTAATTTATATTCCATTCTAGTGTTTCTTTTCTATTTAAGGAAACTTAGATCTTATCCAACTTTAAAATCTGTTACATTTTCCACACATTTTGTTAAATTATTCTTTTTTTTTGTTACGCTACGTATAAAGGGAATTGAACCTTTTCTATTATTGGCAAAAAGATATATAACATATTACTTCGATTCAATAATTTATTAGGAGCACATTTTAATTGAGAAAAATCCAAGATTGATAAAAAAATATTAAATAGTATTTTTATTAAATAATTTCCCTACTCCAAAAGTTAAAGAAAAAAACAAATATGTCTAGATTACTCTGAAACATAGTCGAGGCAATACATTCGAAAAATAGAAAAAAACAATCAAATATAGACGAAGCACACAAAAAAACAAAATGGAGAATCACTTATTTTCTCACCCACATAAAAAGAAAAGTAAAAGAATGTCACTTTTAAAATATTCATAATATTTTAATTTTCAATATTCACTTGAGATGCTTAAGATCACAATACTTAAATGACATTTTAGTGCATTATACATATATACTTCATTTAAGATCATAAAATTCAAAATTCATTCATAGATCATATTAAAAAAATTTGTCCAAACAAATTAAGACACACAATATGCATTCAATTTTTTTAAAAAAATCATATTCAATTGATCAAAATCCTTGAAAATATTTTTTTTCCCTAGAACAATAAGTTTTAAAAAAATGTAAAAAATGAATTTTCTTTATTAGAAATAAATAAAAACAAATTCAACAATTGACATTTCATATTAATGTATACTGCCACTCCAACACACCTCATATTCACTCACCCCATAGCTCCCATCTCCACCACCCGACCCAACCCGACCATATTATATGCAAATATATTTATAATAATATTATTTATTTACCACAAATAAAGAAAACAAAATCATTTATTCACCTAAAAAACAATATTTTTCTTCTTACCCCAAACGCCCATAAAGTAAATTAGAGAGGAGTAATTTTTTTATTTCCTTTTTTTTTGTTCACTCGATATTTAATACTTGTATTAGAATTTCAATTAAATTCAACTCGTATTCTGGGTGTCACTCCTAATATGAGAGGGGATTTGTAAAATAAATAAATATATAATACCAAAACCAAGGACATTTTGGTCAATTCACATATTGTTTCTATATAAATGGATGAATTTATATTTTACAGGTAAATTAGTTGAATGGATTTGCACGGAAAATAGTACAATTATTCTCTTTGTTTGTTTGGTAGGGAGTATCTTATGCTTTTATGAAGAAAAAATAAACATTATTAATGGTAAATAAAAATAATTAAACCTTTTTTTAGGCGTATTTTTCTCCCCCATTAACATTTTTCCTTTTTTTCTCTGAATTCTCTGACTTTTTCTCACAAGAAAAATTAAAGCAGAAAAAGAAGATTTGGGTCAAACTTTGCGTCTGTAAATGTTTATGGCAAAATCTTCTTTTTCTGCATATGGGTTTTTGATTTCAGATTGTGGGTATTATTCTTTTTCCCTTCAAAATTTTTAAATATATTTTTTTTATTGTGGTCTTTGTCTGGGGAATTTAAGGTCGTTTTCTAAGGGTTTACTTTTTTTTTTCTTTTTTAATTTAATTGGTTTTCATTTATGTGTCAATGGATTGGTTGGTGATGAGAAAAAGGTTGCGTCTTTGAACAGATCCTAAAAGTCAGTTTCTTTTTATTTGGTTTGAATTTTTCTTGCCCTTTTTTTAGTAATTTATATTATTTATTTGTCAAATTTGGAAAAAAAGAATCATAGTTGGAATTGAAATTTGGGTTTGTTGGGAAGGTGTGAGTTTTATATTTTTCATGTTCATTAGTTTATTGAAATGAAAATGAAAATGAAAGATATCCTTATTTTGTATTGATTTGTTTTCTGATATGAACTCTTTTTTTTTTTTTTGGTTTTCAGATCAGAAATCTGCTAAAAGTTTGAAGCTTTGTTGGTATTGTTAATATGGATTTGAATAGTAAGGAGAAAGTTGAAGAAGGGTCTAAATTGGAAGGGGTAGGTACTGTTAGTAATAACAATATGGAATCGAAGAGTCTTCGAAGCATTAGTAGCAAAGATATGATATTCAGGGCTGATAAAATTGATCTGAAAAGTTTGGATGTTCAATTGGAAAAGCATTTGAGTCGAGTTTGGTCGAACAATTTAGAGAAACAAAATCAACACAGGCCTAAGGAAGTATGGGAGATTGATCCTTTAAAGTTGGAAATTAAGTATCTTGTAGCTAAGGGTACCTATGGTACCGTTTATCGCGGTACCTATGACAATCAAGATGTTGCAGGTAACATTAGTTTCTATGTTTGTTTTCATGATCTTGGTTGCTACATGTTGTATTGTGAATTTAGGACTCTTTTTTAGCAGAGACGAATCTAGGATTTCTAAAATATGGATAAACTAGGAATTGATAGATAAATAACTCAACATTTACCCAAGAACACGGATTCACCTGCCTTATTTTAAGCCTATAAATTTGTCCTTGTTTTTCAGTTTCATCTAGATAACTAGATATTGTTGTTTATATTTTGATGCCGATCATTCCCTTTTAATACACCAACAAGTAAAAGAAACTAGAAACAAGATTCATTGTGATCGTTGATGAAATAAGTTGAGCTGGATATCGATTGTAATTGGACTGTAGTTGTAGCAATTTCTGTGAACTTTGATATGATATCCATTTTTAACCTTTACGTAACTAATTTGGTTGTCTAGAAAACTAAGTCCAAGTCCAATAAATTTTCTCTGTTTATCAGATAGTGAATGACTATATTAAATGGCCTGCAGAAGTAATACCGTAAAAAACTGTTTTTTTTTTGGTGGATTAACTTGTTTGAAATGAATTTATTGATATTCACTACAAGGATTTGAAGCACTGAACTGTATTGTTGGCATTGCAGTTTGCGCTAAATGATTATTGCTTTGTATTATAATTACCTAAAACATTATTTTTCTGATAAGATATATAGGGATGACAATGAAAATTCCTCTTATTCTCTTCTTAACAATAAAAGTAAAGGTTCTTTCTATCCTCTCTTCTTATGTGGTCGGTTGAGGGTGCTTGGATAAAATTTACTGCTAAAAGTGGCTCAACTTGGTGAGATTATGTTCCTTGCTCACATCATGCATAAACATTTAATAGTGAGAATAAAAGACACTGTGTTGAGAACCATGAGGTCTCATGTTCAAATCCCAGTGATTTCTTCCCATATGTCTTGAACTGGTACCTGTTGTTGGTGGGTGGTGATAGGTATCTCGTGGAATTAGTCGAGGTGTGTGAAAGCTGGCCTTGACCATACGGTTATCATAAAAATAAAAAAAAGACACAGAAGTAAAACTCTTAATTCATTCCATAATGGTCTGCTGAAAGGCCTATACCTCAAGGTCAAATTTCTTCACCAAAGTCCAAGCTGAAAATATACGCATAAATAGTGGTGGTCTGCTGAAGTGTCGACGTACCTGCTAAAAGTTTTCTAAATGTGTCAAGATTTCTAAGATTTTGTCAGGGAACATTTTTCTCAATTAACCTATTTAGGCGAGTAATTTTTTGGGACTTAGTTGTTGTTGTTGTTAGCTATTTAGGCCAGTATTTTCCACTTCCGCAGCGAAATCTTCAAAGAAGCTGTGTTTGCAGTGAAATTAACAGCACTTCTGTTGAGCGGAATTATTAAACATTTTACTGACTGTAAATTATGTATTTCAATATATCACAGAGAGTTCTAACTGAAATATGTGCATTTCCAAAGGTATTTATTTCAGTGTTTCAATGAACCAACTCTACTTATTCACGGTTTAAATAAGTCAGCTTTCTTCCTTCCCCCTGTCCCCCCCTTCCACCCCCAAAAGAGTGAAAAATATCGAGTTTGTGCAATATATTCTGTCTTATAGCTATATGCTGCAAATTTGAAAAGTAAATCAGAATTTAAACATCCTTGTGGATAACGAAAATCTTGATGCTGGAAACGAACTTTGTTCCAAAGATATAGAAATGTGTGGATACATGAAGAGGACATTTGGGCATGACGTTACGTCATTCACTTCAAAGTGTCATGATTTGACTAACTTGAGCCAATGAACTCCGCATAATTTGTAACAGTATGTTGGATAAAGTATATATGAAAAAGAACTTCCAATTAATGAAAATAATCAACAGTATTCTCAAAGTTTTTCAGGAATTTTACCAACCACCGGTAAGAGTTTCTTATGGAATGTTATTTGTGTAGTGAAACTGTTGGACTGGGGAGAGGATGGCATGGCCACAGCTGCTGAAACTGCTTCTCTGCGGGCATCATTTCGGCAGGAGGTTGCTGTTTGGCACAAACTTGACAATCCGAATGTTACCAGAGTACTTAATCTTTTTCCTAAATTGGTTCCTCACTTTTCAGCTTTTAATTATGAATATTTCTATTAAGTTATTGCCATGCAGCTTAAAGCAAGCTTTGACAATTTTAGATTTGGTATGTAGGATCCAATTATTTAACTCAATGTTCTGAATTTCCATTTGATTGTGTTTGCTGCTTTCAGTTCGTTGGTGCTTCTATGGGTACTTCAAATCTTAAGATTCCTTCGAAGAATCCTTCTGATGGTTACACTACCCTTCCTTCTCGAGCTTGTTGTGTTCTTGTGGAATTTCTCCATGGCGGAACATTGAAAAATTACTTGTACAAAAACAGGAAGAAGAAGCTTGCCTTTAAGATTGTCCATCAGCTTGCTCTTGATTTGGCCAGAGGGTACGTCTTTTTCCAACATTGTTTTCTTGATAATTATACCCAATGATGCTTATTTTCTTCTTCCAATTGTGCAGGCTGAGCTATTTGCACTCAAAAAAGATTGTACATCGTGATGTGAAAGCTGAAAACATGTTGTTAGACACTAGTAGAAATTTAAAAATTGCTGATTTTGGAGTTGCTCGTGTTGAAGCACAAAATCCCAAAGACATGACCGGGGAAACTGGAACCCTTGGCTACATGGCCCCAGAGGTATTCCCACTTTTATGAGAGTTGTTTGGGTTGGCTTTGCCCGTCTGAGATATATTATGTCAGCTGATATTGTCACTTGTCTATCCTCTCCCTATATCTTTTAAGAAAATTCTTCTTACTTTTGTGTTAATATTATTTCTACGTCACATCAAATCTACTTTTTCTATATCATGTACAAAGGATTTAATCACATGCATTGTGCAGGTACTTGATGGCAAGCCCTACAACAGAAAATGTGATGTATATAGCTTTGGTATTTGCTTATGGGAAATTTATTGCTGTGATCTCCCATATCTAGATCTAAGCTTCGCTGAAGTCTCTTCTGCCGTTGTTAGACAGGTTTGTCCTCTGATTTACTAGTAAAAACATAGTAACACAATATCTTTTCTTATGTTGCTCTGTCTGTCCAATATTGTTGCCTATGTCATGCACACAAAATAGCTTGGATACTATATAGTATATACCTTTGAGTGCTCATGCACTTCGGTATTAGAGGGCATGCTTACCTTTCTCGACTCATTGCTCATATGTTGTGTTGCTCGAACTCTCCAAATTGTTGTTGCACCTGTGTCGGATCTTCCAAAATGCACTATTTTTGGAGTATCCGACACACACCTGTTGACTGTTTTGAAGAGTCCGAGCAACATAGTCATAAGTCATATCTTGAGTTAATACTGGTCTGTTATCTTTCTGTTTTTCTTAATGTGTGAAAAACACACTAGCTGCTTAAATTATTCACATGTTATAACCATCTTGCAGAATTTGCGACCAAGTATCCCAAAATGTTGTCCAAGCTCTGTATCAAATATCATGAAGAAATGCTGGGACGCAAATCCAGACAAACGACCTGAAATGGATGAGGTAGTGAAAATGTTGGAAGCCATTGACACAAACAAAGGAGGAGGAATGATACCCGAAGACCAAGTTATACAAGGCTGTTTCTGCATTGTTCGTAGTAAGGGTCCATAGTCTTTGTTTACTCTACTTTTTATCCCTGTTGCTCAAGTTGATGAAATTGTACTGTTAATTCATTCGGTTGCTTGAATGCTTGGAGCATGATGTTGGAAAATGTTCCTCAATTGTTGTAAACGAGTATAGCTGGTGTAAAGTTCAAGAATTTTAAGTTTGATCTTTTCACGAGAACCTTCCGTTCTCCTTCCTTGATGTGGATGTACAGCTCAGACTTCGCTATTTTTCTCCAGATTGCAATTATTTCTTCTTTTTCTTTTCAGGGAAACTCCGATGTTTCTAATCCACTGGCCCGATTAACCCTGATTGTGCCAGAGAAGCCCAGTATGGGGATTCTAGCGCTCCCTATCGAAGAGAAGATTTCATTTTAAAGCAATTCTTCAAGTATATAGTCTGGCAAAATATTTCTGTTATGCCATATGGTAATGGCAAGACTACAGGCTGTTTTTTGGTTTTCTGTTAAAGTTGAACATGAGATTTCAGAGTCATTGGTGCTAATAATATGACCATTTTGCCCTCTTGATTAGTACAATCCAATTGTTCTTATTGTGGCATATTGGCTATTTGCTCTGAAAAATGTCAAGAATCCAATCTAAGTTCTCTAAGCTTTTGGCTTTTGTGTCCCATTTGTGGTCATGATGTGCAAAAATTTTCTTACAATAAGTGGGATTTTCCCAAATTAATCATAAAACATTGAGTATTTGTTTTGACTTAGGATTATAGTTAAGTGGATTCCAACACACAAAACCATTGGGAATTTGTTCAAAGACAATGAGAATTGACTGCTTTTTTTGTTCTTTTGCTTGGTCTTGTCCTCTTTCCTTTCTTGACATGACACAATTCCTTAATTCCTCAAGATATGATGTGCATGACCACCTCTTCTTCTTTTGTATTTTCCATACTAGTTTTTTATTATGTCTTACTTGAATCGAAAGCTTATCGGAAATAATTTCTCTATCTTCAGTATAAAGTAGGGGTAAGATTGCGTACACACCACCTCCAAACTCCACTTGTGCATTACGCTGCATTTGTTGTTGATGTGTACAAAAGTAAAACCCAAAAATTACATTCAAGGTTATGATGACCGAGTTGTCAATAGAGTGTGATGAAAGTCATGACAAATCAGGTTTTGAATCTCACTTGAGAGAAAAAAGAAGTGATAAATGATTTTTTCTTATCGGCCTAATTTTTGTTGAAAAAAAGTTAATCTATACATGTATTGTCACGGTGGACTCAATTTGACAAGACACCTTATTTATTATAGAATAAATGTAAAAAAGTAAAAACTGTTGTTTTAATCTATGTGAATGCATAATGCAGTGGACTCAATTTGACAAGGCACTTTATTTATTATCGACTAATTGTAAAAAAACAAAATTGTTATCGACAAGACACCTTATTTATTATCGACTAATTGTGAATGCATGATGCTTCATCCACCGTGTTGCTTTTTGGCTAGACACCTTATTTATTATCGAATAAAAGTAAAAAAGAAAAACTTATTATTATATTCTATATAAATACATGATACTTCGTCCACCAGATTCACCATATTACTTTTGACCAGATACCTTATTTATTATCGAATAAATATAAAAAAAAACTTATTATTATATTGTACATAAATGCGTAATGCTTCGTACACCATCTCTGCTTTCATTTTCTCTGTCATTCTAATTTCTACCCTGTCATACAGAAGGATTATTCTATAGGACTCGTGCACGCAATTTGACATTTTGTTATGCAAATTGTTCCTTCCAAATATCTAACGATTTTTAAAAAAATTAAATTGACCTTTATCAGATAATAAAAACCATAAGATATCTATTCTATTTTTATAAAGTAGTTGAAATTTATTCAATTGCAACCACCATACTTCTAAGTCCTTATTCTTAAATTCTGCCTTTTTATTTTAAAGAGACAGAGCTAAATTTTTTAATTAAAATAAAATTTAATAATTTTGATAAAGAAAATCTATATTTACTTGTTTATGGGTCTTATACAATCTGAGTCTAGATTAAATAATATCCAAAAACGAATATAAAACACCAGATGAAAAAAAAGTTTCTTTATTTGTTTGTTTTGTCATTTTTTTTTAGAGGAAGGGTAGATTTTGAAAGTTGTAAATTTTTCCCCATATTATATGGTACAATAAATTGTTGGTGGTAGAAGCAAATTTAGAAATTAAAAATGTCTTAGAGCATTACGATACATATATATATTATTTTTTTTCCTTCCAATAACATAAACGTATGAAAATCCTCTAAAAATGTTCAAATAATTGTTTTTCCTCCCGTCGGTCAAACAATATTTGTCTTAGATTACACATAAAGATTTAGGATAATATTTTTTAAATTTACGTACAAACACAAAAATAAATAAAAAAATCAAATTTATTCCTAAAGAATATATTCCAAAAAATTTCTTTATGAAAACATTTTTCCCTACATGCAGAACACACACATAGAATATGCTTTGTTTATACAATTGTCAATACCCAAAATATTTTTGTGATAAGATATAGAACGTGTTACTTAAAAAATAATTTAGAAATAGCGTGAAGCAATTTCCTCCGCAAATTATGATTAAAGCATCTTAATCTAAATGTGCTTTTATTTATTTAAAATGTTGTTTCCAACAAAAAAGCCATGATAAGTGTATTTGTTTAATTATACAACATTAGCGTGAAATTTAAGTTAATTATTTTATTATTTGAAAAACGTTAATCATGTTAATTCTTGTTTAATACGGCGTTGGGACTAGCTAATATGTGTTGGCTTACAATTAAGTTTCAATTCCATTAATATGCTTCTACTAATTATTTACGTTTTGTGGGTTAGACCTTAGAAGTTTCCTCCTCCCTAATTAATTAGCTAATTATGTGTTGGCTTGTAAGGAACAAGTAAAATGGAGGGATTTCGAAATTAGACTGAAATTATATGTAAGGGCACTCTATGTAAAAAAAAGAAGAAGAAGAAGAAGAAGAAGGGATAATTATCTAATTAGATAAATATTTTTATCATATTTATTCAGTCTCTTTATAATTTGAAATAATTACATTTTATTTCACTAATTAATAATTTCATACCAGATTTCAAGTCAAATACAATACATGTTTTTTTTCCTGCTACCACATATACTGAAATATGGAGAGAAGCGAGCGAGAACAAGAGGGAGGTGAGTGAGATTTGTCTATGTATCCAGATACATGTGAATCATACTAGATACAAATTATATGTATCTGTGATATCAAAAACACGATTGAGATATGAGAGTGACAAGCGAGATGAGAGAGAGATGAACGAGATTTATCTATGTATCTCAAATGTGTGCAAATTCACTATGATAAAGTATATATGAACGTTTTGATTACATAAAATTTAATAAGATTTGTAATATTAGAAAGTATAGTGTATTTTTGTAAATTAGAAAGATTTTGGTAAGTTACCAAAGAAAGGAAGAAGGGGACATGTGAAATGGACTCAAAGACAAAATGGGTCGATTTTCCTTCATGTGCGCTAGATATATATGTAAATACTTAACCAAATTTGATTTTGCAAAAAAAATTATTTTAACCTACCAAAAAAATTTGTCCAAATGCATACTAAAGAAATTGTCTAGATACATTATAAAATTATGGCTAGATACATGCCACTTGAATTTAATCTTCTTCTTGCAACAAAAAATCCAATAGGTTGCCTATATAAGGAGATGTTTTTGTGAAATTATCCACCGTCTAAAAATATCTTTTTCTTTTTTTCTTCTCATCAAATTTTTAAGCATGAGTGCACATATTTGAAAGAAATTATAGAATTTTGGAATAAGATAGCTCACAACAATTTGCATCCTAATTGGGCTGAAGTAACTTTTAAGAAAGTAGGTTTCAGTTTTTTTTTATACATAACTTGTTTTTTATATTCTCTTCCAAATTAATATTGTAATATTTTTATAAGGATATATTTCTTCTTAATATTCACGAAATTATTAAAGATATATGTCCCAATTAAGATAGATCTAAGTGGTAAGAAAAATCAAATACGATAGATCTAATTGGTAAGAAAAATCAATTACGATAATTTAAACCATGTCAAACAAATTAATGAAAAGAATATGTAATAGGAGTAGTAACTATTAACTAATAACATCTTACTAAAAATAACTTTTGGGTATTGGAAGTGATATTTTAAAATATTTAAGGACATTAAATTAATTATACAAACTTCGTGGCTCTTATCCTCCTCATGATTTTAAATTATCTATTATGTTTCTCTTTTATATATTTTTAAAGAGAAATATTAATTAAGAAAATTGATTTTTTTATTTATATTTAATTTTTATTATATCACTTCTATAATTATAAGTGTTAATCATCTAAATATTGAAAAATAAATAATATTTAATAATAGTAATAAAATATGTATATTATAAATAATAAATTATTCTTTATTCTTATTTTAAATTAAATAAGTAAAAGTGGATAAATAGTGTATTAATTAGGATATATAGAAAAGATAACAAGTAATTTAAAATATTTTTAATTTAAAAATTAAGACAAATAATTTGAGACCGAAGTAGCCGTATACCCACTATATATGTTGGAGATACTCCCCATTAAACTCATTTTCCTTTTTCAATCTTCTGCCAACTTCTGCAAAGTTTTTAAAATAAATATATTCACTTTCCTTCTAAATTTCTACACAATCCCCTCAATTAATTTTTAGTCAATATTTTTGCAGAGATTAATTATAACACAAAAAAGAAAAAAATGGGGTTGAAAAGTGGGTCGACATTTTTGGGTGATTTTCTCCGGCAGTGCGGTGGCTACGCCGTGATAGACGGTGGACTTGCGACGGAGTTGCAGAGGCACGGTGCTGACTTAAATGATCCTCTTTGGAGTGCCAAATGTCTTGTTAGCTCTCCTCATCTTATAAGAAGGGTGCGTATCGTTATTTATTGTGTTTCAGTTATCGTATTAATTTTTTCTTGTTATTAGTTTCTTAATTTTAATATCTGTTATCGTTCGTTATTTTTTGCGTTTCGGTTATTTGTTCTTGTTATTAGTTTTTTACTTTTAATATTTATTATTATGTGTTGTTTATTGTGTTTCAATTATCGTATTGATTTGTTCTTGTTATTAGTTTCTTGCTTTTAATATTTGTTATCATTTGTTGTTTATTGTGTTTCAATTATCGTACGATTTGTTCTTGTTATTGATTTCTTATTTTTGATATATGTTATATATCATTTGTTGTTAATTTATTGTGTTTCAGTTATCGTATTAATTTGTGCTTGTAATTGCTTTTCTTGAATGTTCTACATTATTTTTTATTAATTGTTATATTTTTTTTATTTATCTTTTTATAACTAATTTGATTTACTGCACGCAAATAAAATTTTTTTCTAATTAGTCCAAATAAGAAGAAAGGGAACGATAAAGATTAGTTCCGTGTACGTACGTTCAATTTTTTCATATCGTCTTGAGATGTTCATCCTTAACTTGAACTTTTTAAATATATATTATTATTACCTCTTATCTTCTTCTTGATTTTCTTAA